TAGAAGTAACTAATGAGGATCAAACCCCTATAAGTATTTCTAGGAATATGACTATTATATGCCTCTTACCCCTCTTATTCTCGCACGAACATCATGGCAAGATTCTACTTACCACGCGACCCCTACTTTCCGAACTCGAGAAAGGATGGGTGGTTACGAGAAGAACCAGAAGAGGATCCCAAGGAGGTGTTCGAGGAAGAGACCGAAGGAGATCCCAATGAGGAACCCGAAGAAGATGAAGAGGAAGACGAGGAAGAGTCAGAAGAGGAGTCGGAGGTCATCAACCCTCCGTACATAGCCAGGGATCTCGCGAACTGTTTCGACTACATCGGACATGTGCCCCGTTCGGCAACAGTGGTCGAGGGGTGTAGACGTCATCGGCGACAACGGTCACCATTTGGAGACCAACGAGGTTACTATGACCTCAACCACGGGGGACCGGCTGACAGAGCCCTTCTGGTGATGACCCAGCAGATCATGAACATCGGGGATCAAAACAGGGAGACTACAAATTGAGTTCGGGAGCCGCGTTCTGCTACAGACGCTACCATTTCACGAACCCGGGACATGGAAAGAGACTGCTATTTCGGGGACCGACTTCTTAAGGACCTTATCGCCGCTCGTGCGGAGGCAAAGGAGTATCAGGATAGATACTCGGCAGTCGAAGAGGGAGTGGATGCAGCCGAGCGTAGGTTGGCAGGACTACAGGGCGCATTGACTTCACCTCAAGCACCATCGGGGACGGATCATCGTGAGTAGAGTTCATGCTACTCACACGACCTCACAGATTAGGTTTATGAGTATGCGTGGGTGCTTCTCTTCTCGATGTGTAGGCTCAACCCCGCGATTTAGTGATTACACTAGTCGAGGGATTTATTTGATGTCAGAACTTTTCCTTACAATGACGTGATGTAGACTTGCATCAAGGTCAAATTTTCTATGAAACTATATGAACTAGAATTATATCAATGAAGTGGGCATGCATATTATTTCATTGGGAACAGTACTACTAAAATTCATAAGTTTATTATATATAGACTTTCATTATGAATTGTTTTCAGAACATCATAAAAATCGGAACACGATACACTTAAAACTAAGATAAACTTAGTTAGATAACTCGCAAAGTATAGACATTTCTAAAGACGCATGATCATCTCACCTTTTTAAACATTACGGGTGAAAGGTGCCTTCTTCGTAGACCTATAGGGTGCGATCATACCAGCACTAATGCACCTGATCCCATCAAAACTCCTCAGCTAAGTGTGTTTGGGCAAAGATAGTAACTAGGATGGGAAAATTTAACATTCGTAAAACACCTACTTCTACCCATTACCATAACTTCATCACAAGAAATGTTTAGCAGGAACATCGAGAATAGTTCAGTAAAGTGCGAAATTTATATGTGTGTATATAAATTGTAAGGATATAACTAGAGATAATCATCCCCACTCACGAAATCGTTTCTCGCCATGCAATAGAGTTATGTCTTCACAAGGAGGTAACCAGCCAACTAGCAAGGCATCAATTCTGCAGATAGACTCTACTACCTTTCAAGCTGCGGTCACGGCAGCCGTAACAACCGTCATGACGTAACTCAATCCTAACAACGCCAGCAGAGACAGAGGCGGTGCCGACAATACTAACTGCAGTAACAATCAAGAACACCAACGGGTGTCTACCAACAAAGACGCCTTAGACCCCAAACCTAAGACCAAGAACGGAAGTTTTGGAACAAAAAGGAGCGCAACCTATCTCAAAAACTCGCTAAAAAACAACAATCCGTGGGTGTCCCTGCAATTACAACAACAGTCACGACACATGCCTCGACATCAGCCACAACATCTATCACTCAAGCACCGACCAGACAATATATTGGAACACTTCCAAAGTGTACCAAGTGTAACTACCATCACAAAGGAGTTTTCCGGGTGTTGCACTGTAAAAACTACAACAGAAACGGGCATACTACCCGCTTCTACAGGACTCAGACCCAACACATCGCTTCAACCACCAATACCGGTGTAAGTCCAGTATGCCACCTATGCAATGAAGCGGGACACTTCAAGAGGGATTGTCCAACCGAGCGGAATGACGGAGGAGCAGGAGGAGTGTGACAACCGAACCAACAGAAGCACCAAGGAACCTTCTTAGGACTTTTGGGAATGTTTCAAAACCAAGAACATTTAAGTACCATATGTTTATAATGTACGTGGTATGTTGCTAAGATTACCGTCTTTTAAAGAGTAGTTAAAATACTCTCTCGTTCAATCAAATCAAAACACTTATATACATCGAGCGATCATAGAAAAACTGGTTAGGGATCATAATATGATGTATTATCACTACCTACCAGAACACATTTACTATCAGTACTAGTTGTTGCGATACGAAATCATCTGTAGTAATAATAACATCGACCAAAACAGAACATACTGACAAGAAGCACAGGATGCTCTATCTCCCTAACAAATATTTCGTTCGAATACAACTTAACACATGTTTTACTAGGAAGATCCGATGTCGTCATTTGATATGGATTGGTTTGGTCCTCACCTTACCAATTGCATGTGCTACGAGAAGACCCTTCACCTACCCAAATGAATATTGAAACCCTCGTCCCTCATAACCACAAATCCGACACGGACCTTCGGGCCATCCCTCGTTACGAAACCCCGAAGCACTCACTAGAGGAGTATTATACCTTCCGAAACCTTTCCAAAGTATTCCCAACAGACCCTTCGAGAATATCACTCGTATAGCAGGGCAAGATCAAGCACGGAGACTTAGGACGAATGCGTTAACCTATCACTACTATGGGTATACGCGAGGGCAGTATATAATTAAGATTCTACGAACGTGGGATGTGTGTTTCCACCCCATTTCCTATTCCTTGTCTGGTTGTGGACTTGGGGGCAGAGTCACCCGTCCGACTGTCTTACCAATCTTAATTATATACGACATGTATGCACAAGAAAATGATAGATAGACCAGGTATGAGTCCTATCATGAACTTCGAGACAAAGCCACCCTGGACTACGAGTGGATGTCCTACCATTTGAATGAGTCTAGTCAAGCAAACCGAACCCATATGTTCCCTACCGATCTAAACAGCAGACGAGATGGTGGAAATCCGCTGGAACGACAAGCGGGGATCAAAACTCACTTAGAGAGAGAAGCAAGAAAACGCGCTCCAAACACTAAATCAGGCCTTGTGCAGCGCTCCGATTTTATCCTTACCAAGAGGAGCCGAAGACCCGGTGACCTACCGTAATGCAACGACCCTAGACCTTAGGTGTGCGTTGATGCGACGAGGAGGAGTCATTACTTATGTCTCAAGATGGAAAAAGACGCACGAGGTCGGCTAGGCCACACATGATCTCGAACTAGGAGCGTTAGTATTCGCCCTAGAGGTCTGGAGGCACTATCTTTACGGCGCAAAAATGCACAATTTTCATCGGACATAAGAGCCTTCAGTACATCCTCGACCAAAAGGAACTTGACATGAAGCAAAGAAGATGGGTAGAACTACTAAATGAATACGAGTATGAGATTCGCCATTATCCGGGCAAGGCCAATCTAGCAGCAGATGCCTCGAGCAGAAAGGAATACTCGGGCCGTCGAGTGAAGTCATTATCAATGACAATCCATTCACACCCGTCTGTACAAATCAGAGAAGCTCAGCGGGAAGCCTTGAAAACAGAGAATGTGATAGGTGAGGTATTAAGAGGAATGGATAAGAACCTAGAAGTCAAGGACGACGGAGCTCGTTATCTCGTGAATTGGATCTGGATACCGAAGTTCGATGGATTCAGAGACATCGTCATGAACGAAGCACACAAAACTCGATACCCCGTACATCCCGGTTCAATCAAGATGTACCTAAACCTTAAGAAACTCTGCTGGTGGTCAAACATGAAAGCCGAAATTGCTACCTATGTGGGCAAGCGACTAACTTGTGCCAAGGTCAAGGTAGAATACCAGAAGCCTTAGGGTTTACCATAACAACCAGTGATACCCGCATGAAAGTGGGAGCGGATAACCATGGATTTCATAACCAAGATACCCACATCTTTTCCCCAACACATGAAGTCCCAGTCGGAATGCTAATTTCGGGACGAAATTCCTTCTAACGGGGGGATGATGTGACAACCGTCAATTTTTGGTCAAGCTAAAGTAAAACAAAGATAAACAAGTCAAACCGGTCAACCCAACTAACCCTTGTATATTAGAGTTTACAATATGTTTACTATTGTATATTGGATTTTTCTTGAGTATTCATTTCAACTACAAACGAAAGTATTCAAACTTTTCATATAAAAGCTTATGAACTCACCAACTTAATTGTTGACACTCTTTCAAAACTACTTGTATTCTCAGGAAATCAATGAAACCAGGTAACCACAAGCTTTTGAGGATGGAATGCTACGGCGTTAAACAATTATTTTGACATCATGTTGTAATCAATTTGGAAACATGTAACACTTGAAACTATGTAACTTTTTTATTATATTTATGATTGGTTGTATGTACCGTGATCACTATTATAGTCGTTGTTATGATGCTATACATGAAGTCCGCCACCTCCGGACGTTTCCGCAATCCTTGGTTTGGGGGTGTGACAGTCACTACGTATTTTTCTATTAAAATTAAGTCACTATATTTTCGATTTATTACAATTTTGACTAGTTGACCGATTTGCTTTAGGTCATCCAGCTGCCACTGCTGACGTGACATGATGATGTGTCAGAAGCGAAAAAAATGGCGCAAAGGACATTGTTTTCATTTTTTTTCGCGATTTTGACACTAAGTTTTCAATCTTTTCCAATTTTAACTCTAAGTTTTCTCTTTTCTCCAATTTACAACATAAATGAAATAAACATATGCAAATACATAATTGCTCCATTTACCTTATAATATAATAAAATATATGTAAAAACATTCCTTCAATTACAACTCTTGTTACCAAACTCGTATCTATCACATTCACTTTCATCACATTAATCCAAACTCGTATCTATCACATTCACTTTCATCACATTCATCCAAACTTCTTCTTCAACCTCATGAAAAAACCTAGCCGCAAGATAAGTCAGCCCAACATAAATCACCTTTTGCATCTCCCTAACTCCAACCACCATATTCTTGCCGGAAAAATCCATAGTGAAAATCTTGATCTTGGTGTTTGGGTGCACCGATACAATCTCATCAAAAACGTATTTAAGCTTGGATAGGTTTCTGCTAACCAAGATTAGGTGAAGACCCTTTTGAGCTAGTTGGAAGGCAAAGGCTTTACCGATGCCGCCGATTTCTCCGGTGATGATAGCCCATGAACCGTTGTTTTTTAGGTTCTTAGGTGGTTGGAAGAAAATGATGAAAACCCATTTGATGAGAGTCGTAATGAGTTTGAAAATAGAAAGAAAACCAAGTACAAAAAATAGAGCAATTATGTCTTTGCATATGTTTATTTCATTTATATTCTTTTTTAATCTATTGTACATATATTTTATTATATTATATTGTAAAGGGAGCAATTATGTATTTGCATATTTTAATGTCATTTATGTTGCAAATTGGAGAAAAGCGAAAAAATAGTGTCAAAATTGGAAAAGATTGAAAGTTATTGACTTTTGTGTTATTTACCTAATAGGTTCGGTTAGGTTATATATGGTTCGGTTTCATACAAAAACCAAAACCGAACCATTAGCAATCGGTTAATGAAAATAAAAAACAGCACCTCCATTTTTAGTTATGGTTCGATTTTATTGGTTTGGGTATATCAGTTAAGTCGGTTAGGTTTTTCTAGTTATGATGCTCATCCCTACTAGACAACTTAAGAATGCGATGCGATGGAAGGTGAAGTAATCATACCTTCAACAAAACCAATTTTGTTTTTAGCAGAGATCAGCATGGAACGCTTCCAAGAAGCAAATCCAATGCCATTGAAGATAGTTGAAACTAGTACACAACTAGGATTGCCAAAAGATCCAATGAAAAAAGGTCTCGAAAAAACTAATTGAATCAGATGTCATTGTATCACTAATGCTAGATGTAGACATTATTAATGGCGAAAAGAAGAAGATGCGGATCGAAATTCGGAATAAATGAAAAATTAAGATCTAAAAAGATTGTTGATACCATGTTGTGAAGTATGAGCTTTGAAAGAAAATAACAGAACTTGAAATGATTTCTCTGTAATTAATTATGCACTGATGATATATATATATATATATATATATATATATATATATATATATATAATATATATATAATTTAATAACCATTTAGCCCCAAATGCTGAATTTTAAGAGGTATAACCCTTAATGCATCATGTACAACAATTTTATGCATTCCAGGAAAATCAAATCTTATCCTTGTCAATAATTGATTTAGTCAAAATTAAACAAACGTTCCCTCAAATTCAGCCAATTTAGTCGGTCAAAACCAATTGAATCTGTTAGATCAACGTTATATAGTATCTCAGCCAATTTGAATTGCTCATCCCCAGGTTCCATCGCCACCTTCACAGCTGAAAATCATCATCATAAACCACAACGCCTTCTCCAACTATCTCTCTCAATTCAGGTTGGCTCAATTAGGCTCTACACAGATGTTGATTTTTTTTTAAACTAGGCGGCCGATTGAGTTTGGATTTCATCATTTATCTGCAGATTGGATTTTTATCTTCTTTTATTAGTAGATTTATCCCTTGATTTCAGTAGAAATTTTTTAAGTTTGAATCACTTTCAGCCAAATGAATCGGTCAAAGACGAGATACTATTATATAAGTTAATCTCCTCTTCGTCAATCTCTTCGTCTCCCTCTTTCTCTATATCTACAAGTTTTCTCTATATCTACAAGAAACACGCCTTCTCTTCTGTCCTTCAACTCCCCCCTCTCTCTTAAATACTCTAAACCCTTAATTTCTTCATTCCTCTACTTACATACATAATCTAATGAAGATTTCTTATTTGTTTCAGGTTTTATTCGGAAAAAGGATGGCGCTAGCTGCTGTTGATATGTATTTATTCGCCATGTCTTATTATAATTGACAATGGAAGTATACGCAGACCATAATGGAAGGACAATCGCACGACTAGGCACGTCTTATTATATTGGGTTCGTCGATTTCTTCAAATTTCTTATTTGGGACAGTCAATCTTTCAGTATACCTTCTCCTATAGGATATTTGAATAAAAATGGGACACACATAATCGAATTAGTAAAGCATTGCTTTTGTGAGAATATGGTTCTTACATATGCTCCTTCACGTAAGTTCTTTTCACAGAATTCATCATTTTTACGTTGATTTTTTTTCATCTGTGGATTTGGTGATCGGTGTTTCTGGGGTTTGCATGTAACTCACTGAATCCATCACTAATTCATCATGTATGCTTCTTATTTATTTATTTTTTAATTCCATCCGTTTTGCCTTCTATTTGGGTTTTTCCTTATAGGTGAACCACGATGGATTAAGTCAACATTTTGGTTATAGCAATGATTTATATGCCTAGAACAACTATTACCGTTTTCTCCTTTCGAGGTTAATCTCTCCTCTTTCGGCTTCTCAACCAGGTTGCATCTCTATAACTTAAGAACAGACATGAAAACACTAAGGTAAGTTTTTTCTTATTGATTTTATGATCTCGGATAACGACCGCTTGTAAGGTTAGTTTTGTGTCATTTAAGGTAAAATACCTACATCCCCGTGTGTATTTATGGATTTTTATGGCTTCTAATTGTATTCATGCGTTCAGTTGTTGTCCTATGTATGTTTGACAGGTCTTACCTTTTTATGATGGTTGATTTATTGTGGTTTGTTTGCAGTTTCCCCAAAATCAACATCCTACTCATACAAATGATCCTATGTACATATAAGGTTTGAACTTTTAAGCAATTAGATTGTATATTTGATGGAATTTGATGTACCCTCTTGCTAATTCTTGATTTATGGTGTTCTTTTTTTTAGAAAAAATCGTAATAAAACCCACAAATAATCCTGCTGCACACCCTTACTCTCTTTTGTTAAAGATCATCACTAGCCCAATAAAACTAATATTATTATCTAGAAGAAGTTAGCTTGTTCTAGAATGCTCTGGAAGATTCTAGAACATTATGGAAGACTCAAGAATATACTGGAAGAGTCTAGAATACTCTAGAATGACATGGAAGACCCTGGAAGGCTATGGAACATTCTAGAACACTATGGAAGACACAAGAATGTCTACACTTATCTAGGATATTATAGAACATTCTAGAAACATATAAAAGCTTGCAATAGATATAGAATACGGTAGATAGTTCTAGAATAGTCATGAATGTATGTAGATCTAGAAACTTCCTATAAGGAGGTGGAAACACCTATAAATAGTTGTGGAGCTCATTTGCTCCAAACCATCCCAACATCCAAACCATCCAAGAAAGCCTCAAAGAGATCAAAGTGTGTAGTAGTCTCACAAAGTGTAAGTTCTTCTTAAGTGTCTTAATAAAAGTCTTGTTGTTTCTCATACAAAGAGTCGTGTTCAACAATCTGGTATCAAAGCAAGCTTTCTTGATAGTGAGAACGAGTGATTCTCTTTGTATCGTGAGTAGTCTGTGACTCTGCAAGTTCGGTGTCGAAACTAGCTTGTTTGGTATTACCGAGGTACTGCCAACACGATGGGTGATCTCCAAGTCGTCGGAGGAATCAAGAAACTCAACAACAACAACTACAAAACATGGGAAACATGTATGAAGTCCTACTTACAAGGACAAGATCTATGGGAGGTTGTTGGCGGAAGCGAAACTATGCCGCCGGAGGAAGATGTTAATGGCGCTCTACGCAAATGGAAAATCAAAGCAGGCAAAGCAATGTTTGCCTTGAAGACCACAATCGAAGAAGAGATGTTGGAGCATATTCGGGACGAGAACACACCGAAAGAAGCTTGGGACACGTTTGTGACGCTTTTCTCAAAGAAGAATGATATGAGACTACAACTTTTGGAGAACGAGCTATTATCAATCTCACAACGTGACATGACGATTGCTCAATATTTCCATAAGGTCAAGTCGATATGTCGGGAGATTACTGAACTAGATCCGCAATCCGTCATTACAAAAGCTCGAATGAAGAGGATCATCATCCATGGACTGAGGCCGGAATATAGAAGCTTTGTTACTGCTGTACAAGGATGGCCCGTTCAACCATCACTTGTAGAGTTTGAGAATTTGTTGGCCAGCCAAGAAGCTATGGCTAAGCAAATGGGAGGCATCACGCTAAAGAGTGAAGAGGAAGCACTCTACACAAGCAAAAGTCGGAGGAATTTCAAGCCACCTTCTAAAGAAGGATAAAAAATGTTGACAAAGGGAAGAGTCAGCAAGGAACCTCACAACCATGGAGATCTCAAAAGACCGACAATAAGAGTTCTCGGGGGAGGAGGTTCGAAGGCAACTGCAACAATTGTGGAAAGTGGGGCCACATGTTCAAGGATTGCTGGTCAAAGAAAAAGTCTGTGGAAAGCAATGTAGTAACTTCCAAAAAGGAAGAAGATGATGAATGGGATGTTGAGGCACTATATGCCATAGAAGAGAATAAGACTAAAAGAGGAAGGTCGATGTTTGTGGAGGCCAGAGTAAATGGAGGATACACCAAGGCATTGGTAGATACAGGTGCATCTCATAATTTCCTTGCTGAAGATGAAGCTAGGAAGCTGGGTATCAAATACACCAGAAATCCAGGCCGGTTGAAAGTCATCAACTCTTTATCCAAGCCTATCATTGGTGTTGCATATAGAGTACCTCTTAAGATAGAAGAATGGGAAGGCACCATAGACTTGACAGTGGTGCATATGGATGACTATCGCATGGTATTGGGAATGGATTTCCTAGACAACGTACAACCCTGGTCATTTGAGAGAGATGATACCATGCGTATCACTAAGGGTTCAATAATTCACATTATATCGTTGAAGAGAAATAGGATTGGGTCCCGAATCCTATCAACTATGCAACTCGACAAAGGTCTCAAGAAGAGTGAGACAAAGTTTATGACAACCTTGAAGGAGGAAGTTGTTCCCTCGAAGATGGACATTCCGAAGAAGAATAAGAACATGATGTCACCAGAGTTACATAAAAAGTCGCATCTTAGACGAAAAATGGAACATGTGATGGAGAAACTGGATAAGGCGAAAAAAAGAAAAAAACATTAATTTGTAAGAGCAAAGTAAAATCTCTCAACCGAGCAAAATCTAAACGAGATGAGCAGATCAATAAGGGATCACGTCATAAGAAAGTATACAAAAGAGTTCAACGGTGTCAGGAACAATATTATGGTGCAACAAAAGGAAACCACGAATGTCGTTGTCAAGTATGGAAACAATATATGAAGCAATGGTTGCAACAACTGAGGAAAAACAAAGCATGTGGAAGAGAAAAAGTTCTCAAGGAAGAAGTTAATATGAGACATATCAAGACTAATGACCAAGTAGCAAATAGAGTTCACAAAGGGTTAAGCATTGAAAAA